TAGGTAGATCTCTGTGTGTTCAGGGATACAGCCAGCATTGGAGACATATGCCTTTAAGACTTGGGGGGCTGTACATACAGACAGTGACGAGGCAGTCACGTGTTTGGGTTTACAACCAATGAGAAGGCAGAACAAAAAGACTATGAAAAGACATACACACAGGAAATAGGTCTCGTTCGGAGAGCTAGGAGCACTGCAGGAGGAAGGGTGAGATTTTAGCTCTGAGCTCTGACCTCTTGGCTTTCTCTTTTACATTGGTTCTGTGTTTCTTATTTAATAAGACAGTTGGTTACATCTACACTATAACCAGAGGAGAGAGAAGGACAATTTCACATAAAACGTGTAGGAAAGGCCACACCCGTGAAAGCACCAGAAGAACAAAGGACTGTGAGAAACCATTGTGTCTAACACAGCAAGTTCTTAGTCTGAGCCGAGAGAAGAAAACAAGCAATAGTCCAACCAACGAGAGCCACCAAAGCCGTGGGAAATAACAAATCTACCTCAAGGACGACTTTATTTGCAAATGGGTTCACCAGTTAAAAAGATACAGACTGACTGGATTTAAAACAAACAAAACAATATCAAACTGTTTTCTTTTTTTCTAAGAAATACACTTAGCTGGCAAAAATGTCCAAAAACTGAGCCAAAGGATGCAAGTTAACCTACTAAGCTAATTGAAACAGTGAGCAGGCTGGCAAGAGGACTTTCATGTCTGCTACTGCAGACTTCAAAGCAAAACTAGCAGAAGAGATAAGGAGGACAACTACAGTTAATCAGGGAACAGATCCATCACAAAGACAACACAATTCAAGTATTTTTGGCATTGAATCTTAAAGCTTTCAGTTTCATAAAACAATGAAGGTCACAGAAGGCCACAAAGGTCCTGATACAATCATATCAGGAAACTTCAATATCCCACTCATGTTTAAATAGCTATTCCAAACTAATAATCAGCAAAGAAACATTAATGCTAAATTATACCATAGATCAACTGATTTCAACAGATACCTACAAAATATTCCATCTAACAAACAGAGAACACACATTTTTCCCAGGGATGCATGGAACCTACTCTTTTTTTTTTTTTTTTTTTTTTTTTTGCTTTTCCGAGACAGGGTTTCTCTGTGTAGTTTTGCGCCTTTCCTGGAACTTGCTTTGTAGACCAGGCTGGCCTTGAACTCTGGAACCTACTCTTAAAGTGACCACATGATAGAACACAAATACAATAAAGAAAAAAATATATTTTGTCAGAACATAGTCAAATAAAACTGGAAAGCAAATGCAAAAGAAATCTCAGAAACTACACAAAGACAATAGAGACTAAACAATACACATCTGAACAGGGCCACTGAGGAAATCTGAAAGGATATTTAAAAAGTTCTAGGGTCAGCCGGGCGGTGGTGGCGCACGCCTTTAATCCCAGCACTCGGGAGGCAGAGGCAGGCGGATCTCTGTGAGTTCAAGGCCAGCCTGGTCTACAGAGTG